ATATAACTATATATATATATAACTATAGTGTGTGGATTTACACAGTATATTTCACCTCAAACCCAGGTTGATTCCATTCTATGTAAAGACCATTTTTCAATTGCTTGATGAGACATACCTGAGGCTTATTTTTTGAAGGCCCCAAACCCCTAGACTTTATTTTTGTAAGTGCTAGACATTGTTTCAAAAGAAATATTACAAATGGGGGAAACATGATAGAGGGATTGAGAATATACTGGTTCCAAAGAGAACTGCGCTCTGCTACCAAAAAAAATAATAATCCCAAAAGTCTGAAATTTTCAAAATACTTTAGTATTAAACCAGAATAATATTTTAGTATGACATACTCTCTTATTGTTGAGGTACTTTCAGGAGAAAGTGTTTTTTTCTCTAAAAACTGTTGCCAGCTATGAATCATTATCTAATGAATAGAGTGCTAATCTCAGTACTCACAGTATATATGGAAGTGCAGCAGTACTACAGCAGCAGTTACTACACCGCATGTTCTGTACATGAGCTCTAAAGCTCAAACCCAAAGGCTCAGATAAGTGAGTCTATTTATCCTATAATTTGGGTATCAAAATGAAGTCATATAATCCACATTTTCCAAGGAACTCAAGTTTGAAACCCCTTTGCTTCAGAGAGGAAGTTCGCGTTAACGGTGGATGGGTCATACGAAGGAACCCAGACCCACACATTGAGCTCCTGCATCTGCCCGACCTCCCCGGCCAGGTTCCACTACATCAAGTACAACCAGTCTACGCTCACCGTGGCTCTGCCACAGCGGAGGCAGCTCATCAGGGTACGTGATGGCTCTTTGCTCTGTTTTTCTTTGGGGACCTCAAAGATCTGAGGGTGTGTATGTGCCCACTTGTGTATGCCCTGAATTGGTAAGTGCATGTATGTAAATAAGGCAGGACAGACTGCTTTTACCTCTTTTCCACCCTCTTTTGTATAGTAAAATGTCTGTTTTAACCCCTTTTCCAGTCTACATCAAGTCAAAATGAAAGGGATATGAATGAATCTGTGACTCTACCTCTGAACTCGCTTCCTATACAAGAGCCAATAACAATAGCAGAGGTGAGAACAAGTTTTTTCTTAATAAAAACCAGCCTAACACACTTTCAGTTGGGTGGGTAATGAGAGTCCTACAGTTGAGTGATTCAGTTCCTGTCACACACAAATGCTGCAGTGTCAGGTGTGAATGACAGTCACTCTGCAACCATGCAATATTTATTTGTTTTCTTTTGTTGTGCATGTGATTCCAGGCACGCTGTTCAAACCTGTTCTGAGTTTAAACTAATTTCCTCAGGACATATCTAATGCATTCTTCAACATAGTATGCGAGCTAACAGTAACAGATATGGCAATTAAGACTTATATATGCAAAGGGAAAACGTGAAGCAGAAGATAAAACAGACACCATCCATATGCTCGTGGTTCAGACGCTCAGCTTTCAATGACTTTCCCAGAAAATGAAGGTCAAACTAGGTGTTCAGCTACGAAAAGCTGAGGGGCTCTAAGCCCAGTTCATAGTATCTGTCACAAGCCAGCCCACGGCTGGCCAGATTCTGCAGCCGCATTGCTGACTGCAAAGATGGTGAAACTCAGCCGCTGGATAGAGTGGGGGAGGAAGGCACAGGACTGATGACCTGAGCATGCTTACACTGTTTGTATTGCGATTTTCAGGACAGGACAATTGACTTGTACACAAAGGCAAGTGAATGGTAAGTGAGTCTCCAGCAAGACCCGATCCTGTAACTGGGAGACATTTGCACCTACACAAAGCTCATTTCATATCCGCAGGGATCCATGCAGGCTCGGTTGTAAGCAGAGGTGTGTTCATCTTTGGGTTGCAGGCGTTTGTTGGCTAGGTCCTCCTCTTTCAGTGATAAAGAATTAAATCATGGGTCCCCTTTCCTCTAAGTTTCCAAGCTGTTAGTGCAGCTCAGTAAGTAGATCTCGATTTGTGTGCACTACTATGCCCGCAGGCAGAGAGAGGGGCTTCACAAATTAATCATGTTTCTCTGTTATATGAACAAAATAATACTGAGGCATGGGAGCTGTTTCCTTAATCAACTGCAGTGCCCATTGACAGCGGTTATCAAGCACATATGGCAGGGACTACTGAAACTTGAAAAATGAATTACATGAGCAAATAAAACCAAAAGTGTCTTTTAGGAACCTTGTTGCCATACCAGGACAGTACATCATGTTCTGCTCTGTCTTCCCATTTACACTGGTGTTAGCAGCTAAAGCAATTAGCAGAGGCCAGTCTGTAGTGTTGCTCATTTATTACATTATACAGTCCCACAAACTGGTTGGCAAACACACACAAGCATAGCTGGAGTTGACCACAGGGAATAATAACGTAATAATATTTGTGCCCTGGTCTCAGGACTCAGGGTCTGTGTTTCAGGCCAAGGAACCTCGACGCCCGTCTGGGGTTTGACCTGTGTGCTGATGAACAAGATTTCCTGAGAAACCGGAGGAAGGTGGTTGCCGCTGCACTGAAGAATGTTCTTCATCTGGAGGAAGATCTGCAAGAGCATGAGGTAACCAGCAAAGACACTCCTGGGAGATTTTCCTCTCTCCTTTCCCTCAAGCCTGCTGGTGTCTGGATGTTGCTTTTGCAAGTCTACTGTCTTTTTGACATGGACATGCCATAATGCCCCTTCTCCACCTATGCGATTTTTTGTTGAACAGGTGCCTATCGTGGCTGTGACCACAGCAGGATGCGGGATAAGAGCACTCACGGCCATGTACGGCAGCATTTTGGGTCTTCAAAAACTGCGTGTTCTGGATTGCGTTTCATACATCAGTGGATCGTCTGGCACAACATGGTGAGGAGGCATTTTGATGCTGCTGTTTAGATCTTGCTGTGTTAAGCAAAACCCATGCTTTCTCCAGGGTTTTAGTTCTCAGTGAGGGTAAAAGGGGTTATTGTTTCCGTATTTGATCTATGAATGATCCCAGACAAAACATCCCAGATTAAGTGATTTTTGACCGATTGCTTTTAGACTTGCATTTCTGCAAGTAAGCTCAGAGGCGCTTAACCTGTAGATAAAACAATGTGCCCAAGCTCTGCAAAGTGTATCCTCTGAGTTTCAAACACATCTTCATACACAAGAAGGACATGGACCTGTTGGAGCAGGTCCAGAGGAGACCACAAAAGTGATGGAAAGGCTGGAACACCTCTGCTATCTATGAGGACAAGCTGAGAGAGTTGGGGTTGTTCAGCATGGAGAAGAGAAGGTGCTGGGGAGACATTATAGCAGTCTTCCCATACCTGAAGAGGTCTACAAGAAAGCTGGGGAGGGAGTGTTTACAAGGTCATGTAGCGATAGGACAAGAGGCAATGGTTTTAGACTAGAGCAGGGTAGATTTAGATTAGATGTTAGGGCTAAGGTCTTTACTATGAGGGTGGTGAGACCCTGGCACAGGTTGCCCAGGGAGGTGGTGGAGGCCCCATCCCTGGGGACGTTCAAGGTCAGGCTGGATGGGGCTCTGAGCAATGTGATGTAGTTAAAGATGTCCCTGCTCCCTGCAGGGGACTTGCACTAGATGGCCTTTAAAGGTCCCTTCCAGCCCAACACATTCTGTGATGCTTTGATTTCTGTCCACCTTCCATCGTGTTTCCTCCCTGCAGGACAATGACAAAACTATACGAAGATGCTGATTGGTCACGTAAGGATCTTGGAGAAATGATTATTGAAGCTCGGAAGCAAGCAGCCAAGTGCAAGATGGGGGCTTTCTGCTTGAGAAGCCTGAGGAATTATTACAAAGAGTTGAGCCAAAGGACCCAAGCAGGACATAAAACATCTTTTATTGATCTGTGGGGTCTCATGATTGAATCCATGTTAAATGATGGGGTAATGTGTACACATCTTTCTTCTCATAAAGTTGGTGACTTGATCTTTGCGACCATTACAAGAAATTAAAATTCTGGGAAGTATGTAGGCAGAACACCACTAAGTTACGCTAATTTACATTAGCAACTTAGAGACATAGCGTATGTCTATACTGGAGCCTAAATGTGATTGAACATAATGTAGAAATGCTCAGACTAGCTCTAAAAGAACCAGCATGCTGATTAACATTGTAGCTGTCCAAGAAATTTTTGAGGTTCCTGGGTGTTTTTTATGGCCCCATGCTCTTACGTCTCCACTGCTGCAATATTCACAGCTGCAGTCATACCTTGAATATACCGCAGATGTACCCCATGTGTGGTTACTGCACTTTCTGATTTAAGGCTGAGAATGTATACAGATCATGAGACATCTTACTTACATAAACCATGATTTTGCAGATGCATTTCAGATACTTTGGGGTTGATCTTTCGGGGCCTCCTGTTCCTAATTTTATTCTAATGACAGAAGCAAAACCTTCCATATAAACAAGCAGCCTGATGATAGCTGGAGAAGATATTTTATTTTTAAATCCTGTAAGCATGGTTTATAATTTGCCTAGGTGAAACAGGTAAAATGAAATACTCTCATCTTGTATCCTATTTCGCATTGTATTTGTGGTCTCAGTGCTACATAGCAAAATTTGCTAGAATTTATTATGGTTGAAGTGCACTCAAAATCTCCATTTCATGTACAAGATAAGTTGTTAGTATTGAACAGCTCAAGGATTTTTCCTCTATGGATGTTAATTTTCAGTATGTTTTGCCCCCTAGAAGGGCCATTAATATGCTGCCTTGAAGAACTCGTATGTTTAGCAGATGAAGGATGTGATAACAGCTGAATTACCCTGGTCTGCCCAATTTTTTTGCTTAGATTTAGCAATGCAAAGTTAGAACAGCATGTGGAGCAACTCATTATTGTTGTTACTTGTATACTGAATGCAGAATGTGACTGATTACCGACAATTATTCTGTTTCCCATTATTTTCTTGCTCTCTGTTACTCAAGCACATGGAAGTAAGTTAAGGAGGAAATCTGGGGAAATGATATCCCATATTCAGATTTTATACGATGATTTCTTTAAGGAACTGATTATCGGCTAACTGTTTTTGCTTGGTTTGTGTTATTTTCTCTCCCAATTCAGAAATGCCACCATAGACTTTCTGATCAACGTCAGGCTGTGAATCAGGGTCAGAACCCACTGCCCATCTACCTTGCCCTCAATGTCAAGGACAAAGTTGCCACCAAAGATTTTAGAGGTAATGTTTCAATTCTAGAGAAGACCTGTGTTTTTACCTAGGGAGATACAGCATGGGGATACTGTAAATAATGATAAATTGTTTTGAATTCTTACTTCAAGCCAGGAGAAGTTCTGTTCAGAGATGTAAAGAGTAACTGGGCAGGTACAGGATAGATAGCAACCGATCAGTATTTCATAAGATCTCCTGGGATGTAAGTGTGCATATTCAGACATTAGCTTCAGACCAGTAATACAACACATATCTGTAATATTGTCTCACAGACGCTCTGAATTCTTAAAGAAAATGATTTACCGAAGCTTTAAGATTACTTAATGTATATTTTTTACAGTTGGCTAAAGACAATAAAAGCAATGGAACTCTAGCCCACGTTCCATGAGAAAAATTCTCACTTGCTAGATAAAATGGAAAAAGAATTTATATTTTCCTTTAGTCCTCATACACAATCATAGAATTGTTTAAGGTCATTGAGTCAAACCTTTAACTCAGTGCTGCCAGGTCCACCACTAAACCATGGCTCCAAGAACCACATCTACAAATCTTTTAAACACCTCCAGGAATGGTGACTCAATCACTTTCCTGGGCAGCCTGTTCCAGTGCTTGACAAACCTTTCAGTGAAGAAATTTTTCCTGATATCCAATCTGAACCTCCCCTCATGCAACTTGATGCCATTTCCTTCTGTCCTATCACTTGTTGTATGAGAGAAGAGACTGACTCCCACCTTGCTACAACCTCCTTTCAGGTAGTTGTAGAGAGTGATAAGGTCTCCCCTTGGGCTCCTCCAGGCTAAACAAGTGCCCAGTGTCCTCAGCTGCTTCTCAGAAGACTTGTTCTTGAGACCAGCTTCCTTGCTCTTTTCTGGACATGCTCCAGCACCTCAATATCTGTCTTGTCATGAGGGGCCCAAAACTGAACACGGATTCGAGGTGCGGCCTCACCAGTGCTGAGCACAGGGGGACAATCCCTTCCCTGGTCCTGCTGGCCACACTATTACTGATCCAGACCAGGATGCTGTTGGCCTTCTTGGCCACCTGGGCACACTGCTGGCTCATGTTCAGCCAGCTGTTGACCAACACCCCCAGGGCCTTTTCTGCGGGGCAGCTCTCCAGCCACTCCCCAAGCCTTTAGCGCTGCCGGGAGTTGCCCAGGGCAGGACCCAGCACTCAGCCTTGTTGAATCTCATACAAATGGCTTCAGCCCATTGATCCAGCCTGTGCAGGTTCCCCTGCAGAGGCTCTCTACCCTCCAACAGATCAGCAGTCTCACCCAATTTGGTGTCACCTGCAAACTTACTGATGGTTCACACAGTCTTTTTGACAAACCTGTAGACAGTGTGACAGCTGGTTCAGTGGTGGCTGTTGGCCGGGTTTCCTTAGGGCACTTGCTAAGCCAGCTTGCCTGAGAGGACTGACGCCTGAAAGGTTTAGTCACCATCTGGCAACTTGACTGGCTCTAGAAGCAGAGGTTAACACTGCTGGGGTGTGTTTGTGTTGGCAGAGTGGGTGGAGTTCACGCCATACGAGGTGGGTTTCCTGAAGTACGGCGCCTTCATTCGTGCGGAGGATTTTGGCAGCGAGTTCTTCATGGGTCGCCTGATGAAGAAACTTCCCGAGTCCCGGATCTGCTTCATGCAAGGTGACTCGTCAGCCTGGGGGAGTGACAAGATTTTCATACAAATGCTAATGATTCTGGAAGTTAGTCCTCACAAATGTGGTATTCTGCATGTGGCAGCAGAAGCACTGCATCAGCCAGCTCAAATTAAACATGTTTCCTGAGACTCATTCAACTGCACTTGCTAGCAAAGGTGGTTGGATCATTTGGAACCAAGATAAAATTAAACTAAAATGACAAAAAAGTTTTTATGAACCTTCACAAGTGCTTTTGAAGCACCAGCATTTCCCATAGCTTGCAGAACATTTGAAAGTTGGAAAACTATTAGACATTGTGGATGCTGAAGGAAATGTTGAGAAGAAGTATACAGGACAAGAAAGAAGGGAATCAGGGAAGGAGCTGGCTGAAAATATCTTTTTTTTTTTTTTTTTTTTACCAAAGGAAAAAAGAAATGAAAATGTGAAAATGAAAAAAAAAAACAAACTTCTTAAAAATTTCAAAATATTCCAGGTCAAATATGTAAAAGGCAAAAACCTTGAAATTTCTCTGAAACAAGTTATCTGGACAGAAATATGAAAAAGTTAGAGAGGAGCTGTGGAAGGAGCAGAAGACAGTTTTTAAAAGAATTTCCTTGTGTTTACCTCAGCACTACTTATTATACCTCTCTCACTTCCTAGGAATGTGGAGTAGTATCTTCTCCAAGAACCTCTTGGATGCCTGGCATGCAGCTGACAATTCAGAGGACTTCTGGCACAGATGGACCCAGGACGAAGTGACTGAAATAGGTGAATCTCAAGTACCCTTCTCTTTATGGATTCCCTCTGATCCATCACATTTCTCATTTTTTTGAGGTTTTCTGTCATCCTGGTGGTTTCAGCTTCAGGGCATGAGAGACACCAAGAAAATCGAGTGATTTGATTTTACTGAATAGTCAGTGCTTTGCTTAAATAGTGATATTGTTTTTTGAAGGAAGGGCACCATCATACAGACCTTGATGGGAAGGAGACAGGTCCCTGGCATTTGCATTTAAAAGGCTTGGAAAGAAGAAGTTCTGTCAAAGTTCACACATCACCAGTTGATTAGCCACAGAGAAACTTTAGTGTTTCCTTTCCAACATCTATTTGCCCTGCACAGCATGTCCCTCCCTCAAAATGTGACTGAACTGAAAGATTTACTAGAGGTCAAAGGAAGACACCAGCGGAGAGAAGCATATTCATGCTGAAAGAACACTCCTTGGAAATACTCATGAATTTCTTCATGTTAAAATTCAAGCAAAGCCAGTAATTTCAGAGTGAACGGACTTAAGTCACATTTCTGTGGACTACGTTTTTTGGGAGAAGAAGCACCATACTCTTCTGTTTGAGTTTATATAAATAATTTGCAAGTTTGTGTTGAATTCAGCTGGGCAGACCCTGACCAAATTGAACAAACTGGTTTTTTAAAGTAAAAATATTTTGTTTAAAAAGAAAATGTTCATTTTTTTTATTTAACTTATGTGGAATCTAAAAGCAGTAATCCCCTCAAAATCATAGAACAGTAGAATCATAGAATTGTCAGGGTTGGAAGGGACCTCAAAGATCATCTAGTTCCAACCTTCCCGCCATGAGCAGGGACATCTCCCACTAGATCAGGTATAAATACAATTATAAGGTATAAAAATTATTTTCCCTGTTCTTTCGTTTGCTCGGAAAAATTAATTACGTATACTGAAATGATGTTTACAAGAAAAAATGCTCCTTTAGTCAGATTTAGCCAACTGAGGTTTAGAAACAAAAGTCTTTGGTCAAGAAATTAACTGCAGCTCACAGCAGACTCTAGGGAAAACTAATTCAATGCTGAGAGCTGTGGACACATGATCCACTATGGCTACAGAAGAGTTGCTGACCCTTTCTCCTCTTTGCTCCAGCCTCCTTTTAATTGTGGTTAGAATTCAACTGCCTGCCATTCATTCCATGTGTCTCTAGAGGAACGACCAGACTTGCCTGAGAAGCCGTACGAGATGGCTACGTGCATGTTCACTCCCATGAGTGGCCTCACCACGACTCTCCGGGACATTCTAACGGACCGCCCTGCTGTCTCCAAGTACCACAACTTCCTGAGGGGCTTCCAGATGCACAATGAGTACATCCAGCATCAGCACTTCACCAGATGGAAAGGTGTGGATATCACTCCTCCATGGACATCAACGGTCATCGGGGCTGGCGGTGGGGGCTGAGATTTAGCAAGTGGCATTTGTGTGTCCTGCAGAGAACTGGATGGGGTTGGTGGGTCATTGTTAGTGCTTGCTGAGAGGAGAGAAGGGAGAGCAAAGTAACGCCTGACTTTCTTCACTCCCAGTAATACAACTGTTTGGTTTTGGGATCTTTCAGTACTGAAAGTCGCCACTGGGATGAAAATTGCTGGAGTGGGGCTCTGCACATATGGAACATCTGCCCAGGCTTTGGTGCAGTTCACGGGTTTGGAACCACCAACAAAACATGACAGGGGGTTTACGATTGCTGCACGCTATCCTAAATTAAAGGGAAAATCCTGGATAGGAGGGAAGCTGACCTTCCTTTTGCTTTCTATATCTTGACCAATGTCTTTCTGTGGTTTGCTAATAGCTCTGAATCTGCTACTCTTTAGACACTTTGCTAGACGCTTCTCCTAATGACCTGAGAGGTGACTCGGAGCACCTGGAGTTGGTGGATGCAGCTTTCTTCTTTGAAACCAGCTGCCCACCCCTTATGAGACCAGAGCGGAAGGTGGATGTCATCATACACTTAAATTACACGGGCGGATCACAGGCCTTGGTGAGAAGTCTCAAAACTGTCTTTGTTTAATAACGGCTTTTCCTTTGTTTTCCACAACATTCAGACAGGCATCTGTAAAACGTGGAGCTTAGTGGAATTTAGCAACATGGTGTTTCCAAACCTTAGAAGAACAATGGAAGTTCCTAGAGGGGAAAATATCTCTATTTTTCTCAAACTACATTTGAAATAGCCCTAAGTACTTCACCAATGAAACAGAGCAGCACAGTGAGGTTATAATAGCTGAGCTGCAACTTCCATTACAATTACATGTAAGATTTAACAGCACAAATATTGCTGGGTAAACTTTGTGATTCAGATGCTGAATTTAACCTTAAACATATAAGATTTTATTTACCTTTTTAACATGCGGTTTTCTAGCTGTCCAAGAACAACTTAGTAAGTGAGGAATTTTTTCATCCCTATTTTTATCTCTTTGAAGCAAGATATCAAACGCATTTACTATGTTTGCAGAAAGCTAATTTGGTTAAAATGGTTGTATAGATTTTGAAAGTGGTATTCACTACATAAAAAGACAGACTTAGGCTTCCGAGTAGCAACTTGTAATTGTAAATCTGTCCCTGAAGGGCACCACAGAAAACACGAAGTTCACTGGTTAAGTTTTTGTCATTTTTTCAAGTGGAAGATACTCTAATGCTGATCTTACACTGTTATGCCACATGAAAAATATTTGTCCCTGTACTGCAGCTGAAAAAAAGCATATGTAATAACTTGCACATTTCTTTCTTGTACTCTGAAGTCTTTTGGAAATATTTAATTCAAATAAACTGAGGTGGTACTTCAGTGTTTTGTTATATAATTTAACAAAGTCAGTCATCACAGATGAGCTTTCTGATAAATGCTTTCAATACTGTTTTTTGAGGTCTAAAATACAGTGGCTTGAAAACTCATATCTAAAACCCAGAGTTATAGAAATGGGTAAGTTGGTTTCAAAACTCTGCTAAAGTCTGTTGAGGTCAGCTCACATTATACTGCTATGCAAACAGGTAATGCAATTGTGCATCTCACTATCTTGGACTGCAAATTCACTTTTTAGATCTATGTTTTCCTCACTTAGTTCTCCTTTAATTAATGATGCCCTATAGCATGCTTTGAATTAATCTTCCTAAATCCTATCACTATTTTAGAGAGGTGCTTTGGTACGTATTTAAACCCTCTTTACCATCTTGATTAGGTGTTTTCCTGTATAACTATTTTGAAATAGCTCCTCAGGCAAGAGAATAACAGTCCCTGGGGCTGTAGGTCCTCCCGTTACTGCTGGTTGTCCAGAGCTACCAGTCTCTTTTGTGTGACTTGCCATGGATTACTTGGCTTTGGCAGCCACCTGACGTTGAGTTTCTTTTCCATTCCTTACACTGCTGCTGTTGGGCCATGACCAGCCCCTGCAGCAGGCTTGCAGATACTTCTCAGAGCAGGGAATTCCATTTCCCAGCATTGGGCTGAAGGATGACGAGAAGAACCTGAAAGAGTGCTACATGTTTGATGGTGCAGACACTCCAGGAGCTCCTCTGCTGCTTTTTTTTCCATTAGTGAACGACACTTTCCAAAGATACGTAGAACCTGGTAAGTTAACAGTACCCAGCTAATTTTATTCACCCAATGAACTTACTCCCTGGGTGTATTTTCCTCATCCCAGTACAAAAATCCTTTGCTCTTTGGCTTGTTCCTACTAGTGAGCGCCTTGCAAAACGGGATGACACAAACCGTATGCAAAACCAGGTGAAATCTTGTGCGGAATTTTAGTTTGAGTCCTGGTGCAATTCAGTGGGAGAAGAAACGTGTTCCTCAGGTAGAGGAATGGGAACTAATTTCTTCTTGTGATCTCCAAAATCACAAGAACTTTACTTCAGCATGTGGAACAAAACATATTCTTCAGGTTATGTATTGTTGATAGTTAGATCTAGGAGAGAACTACCTGTATAGTATAGAACAGTTATATGGAGGGCCGCTGTGCTTTCTATTTGACTTGTTTAATGTGTTGGTTGTATATGCTGGAATATTAGATCAATAGTACATGAAATAATACAGTCACTGTATCCTTTTGGGCTCGTAATTGAGATTGCAGGCTTTATTTTCATGGTGATTTCCAAGGCTCCTAGTATTTTACTTCCTCCTGTCCTATATTTCTCTTTATTCCTTTTACCTTTAGTATGTATTCTACTTTAGAACCTTCAGGGTAAGATTTGAGCACCTATTACCAAACAAGGTGACATGCCTTAAGCTGGCCAGTAGAAGGTGCTGGTTGCAATGGAACGATGTTTAGTGACAAGATTTTTTTAAGATTTTTTTTTTTTGTTAATCCCAGTAGGCTTTGTTCATAGATCACAGCACTGCACTTGTCTTCATAGCAATTGCATCTGTGATCTCTCAAAATTACTCCTGATGTAGTCTAACAGAGTACTGTAATTCCCTGGGACTAAGCAAACATATTCCTTTTTTTTTCCCTTGACAGGGATGTTACGTAGCGCTGCTGAAATGGAGCAGGGCAAGGTTGATATCTCCAGTTTCTGCTCGCCATACTCAACGAGGGAGGTCTCGCTGAAAGCAGAAGATTTCAACAAGCTCATGAAGCTGACTAATTACAACATCATGAACAATGAGAACATGATTCTTCAGGCCTTGCGCACGGCTGTGGCACGGAAGAAACAACCTCTGAGCCAGGCAGCATCACAAGCCCAGACCTCTGCTTGAACAGCTTTTTTCTCTCCCTTACTATTTACCATGACAGCATATATGTGATAGCTACTTCACTGTTCATGGCAGGTTCCACCTCTTTCTAAGTAACCCTCTCAAAAAAGAAAACTTGAAGTGTTTGTTTCAAAGCTACATGGTTGTGTTTAATAAGCTGTAGTTGCTTTCTGATCCAGAGCTGTGGTATCAAGCAGCGCAGTCTGTGTTATTAACACCAGCTGAGATGCTCCAGAGGCAAAGGTTCCACTGCATGTGATAGGGGAATAGTTTTAGCGCTCTGTCTCTGCAATCTCTTATTATCTTGGTGGCTAGCTACTAGTAATTTTTTCATTTGCCATATATTTTGGCATTTTGTTGGGACTATTGATAGAAAATGCATAAAGCCCTCTTCAGACACTGAAGGTGGTGACCATGCAGTGTCAATTTTTAAATAATTTTATTTGGGTTTAGTAACTTAAATTAAACTGTGCTCTACCTTTTAAGAGTTTTGTTTCCCAGGTCCTTTTTTTTTTGTTCAGGAACTGTTGTTTCATATATATACACATCTTACGAAGGATATTTTGTTTTTCAGCATTCCATTGGATAAAGGATATATGGATGAGTGGCCTTTTAGGTCTTTGATGAATCTATTCTTACCAAGTGAATCAAACTTATGAATTTGTTTTGAAGGACCATTGCCATTTCCTCTCACAATTAACTGTTTTGTCTCGGATCACATGTATGTGCTGCACTTGCCTCCCCAAAATACAATTTTGCTTCAGCATCATATAGAGCTTTTTTAGAGTAGTGGATTGAAACAGCACTGAAACAGATAGCATGTGAGGGCAGAGGTTGCAGGATATGTGGTAATTGCACACGCAGAATCACACTGGAGAAGTGGAATAACATACCAAGATTCTGCTGACTGCATCACAGTTGTTAAACTACCATTAAATGTAAAACACAGCTAGATATCCTAGTACAAATCAAGATGATACAATTGCCACAGCCTTAACCTAGTTATTTGAGAAGTACATTGAAGTGCAGTGGCCGATGAGGAAAAAGCTGATTTATATACACATAGAACAAAAAATGTAACAGCTCTCAAGCACCAGTGCAGTTGCTAAAGAACTAAAGAAGAAATTCTCATCCTGGAAAAGCCCTAAATGATGTGTGCACACATCTGATAAAGGATCTGATGAGCAATCTATTAACAAAAATCAGCACTCCTATTCAAGCTGTACAGCAGAATGGTTTGTAATGCAGAAAACAGTTGTGTGTCATTCCCAAGAAGCAAGAGTCCTGTCCACCAAGGCACGGATGTTGATCAACCACTGAATGTGGATACACCACAATAAAAATCTTTCATTTATTCTCCTTCAGCTAATGACACATTTCCTAAGTAAATCCTCCACCCCTTTGGGCAGCTTTTCAGATATTACTAAAAACCATTAACTGTTTTGATTAAAAAGAAAAAAATCCAGTGTTTTGAGGAGAAGATAATCTACTTAAACACTCTAAAGGCCAAGAAAGTTCCAGCAGAGAAAGACATGTAGCCTCTGTAGCGTGAACTATTCTTCAGAGGTGAGTTACTGGAGAAAGTCAGGTTTTTTTTCTAGAACTGGAGGTGGTTAAGGAGTTGGGGTTTGCTGTCTTTTGGTCACAGTCCCACAGGAGCATTGTGAAAGGAAGGCAGATGCTGGCAGCTGGGAGTTTGTCAAAGGCCAACCAGGAAAAGACTGGCAGGAGTCCCTCACCTCCTTCCGTAGCCAGGCCTAAAAGAAGTAGGTGAGAGGTGTAGAAGAGGCTTCTTTTGTCCCTAAATATCCCAACAGGGTACATAGAAAATTTCAACCTTATTTTCTAAAACCTTGTCCCCTGTTTTATCTGAGAAACCACTGATGAGCTCAAAATAAGGTACCCAGACCATCACAGTGGGCATCAGGACTGAGTCCTTCATGACTGCCAGGGAGGGTGTTGGCAGTTCTCTTGCTATTGCTAAGAACCAGGTATTATATCAACTTCACAAAGTCTGTGAGCTCCCTGAGGGACTTGGGTTCAGTTTCAGTTCTCAGCTGTTGGCCTCCATTGGAGACATTTTGGTCAGGATTAGATATTCTGCTTGACTTTGCCTGTGGACTTTTTGATCGTGAATGGTGGGTGCCTGCTCCTTCCTAGTTTTAGCAGCCTCAGACTGGTCAGAAAATGCATATTCCTGTGAAAAGGGAAATGCTTCTCTGATGATCTCTCCTACCAGAAACAGTAGTTTCTCAGATGCTGGCACAGCATTTGGGATAACTGCATTTGCTATACGTTCACGCTAGATGTCTTGTCCCAGGTGCTTGTGCTGGGATTACTGTTAGGTTCTCTTCTAGCAGCGGCACTTGACAGCCAGTGTCTGGGATGGGATCCTTCCAGGTCCATGCTCTTGCAGCATTTGCTTGGGAGGAAAATCCTGCAGAGCCAGAGCCCTTGGGTAGGAGAGGTGATATAGGCCTAGAGATTGGTCCTCCCTTTTTGTTTTTTTTTTTTATTTTTTTTGAGTTATTCAAGAATTGTTTCTCAGCTGTGGGAGGGACCCCGGGCTGGAGCCGGAGAAGAACATGAAGAGTCCTCCGCTTGAGGAAGAATGAGCAGCAGAGACATGATGGACTGACCACAAGCCCCATTCCCCTTCCCCCTGTGCCACTGTTGGCGGAGGAGGTGGAGAAATCATTAGTAGGAGGAAGGGAGGGATAGGGGGAAGGTGTTTTTAAGTTTTCGTTTTGATTTGTAATAAAACTGATTTCCCCAAGTTGAGTCCATTTTACCCGTGATGGTAATTGCTGAGTGATCTCCCTGTCTTTATCTCAACCCATGAGCCTTTTGTTCTATTTCGTTCTCCCCTGTCCGGCAGCTTTGGTGGGCACCTGGCATTCAACACCATCAATGCTGTCTAGAGTTGTATTTTATTAAGATTTAGGGTTCTCTTTGGTTTTGTATGTGGGTTTTTTTGTTTTGTTTTGTTTTGTTTTTTTAAATCCTATGGGCATCTTGGTGCTACTGTGGTTATTCATCTCCAGGTCAGACTTTCCCAGGGAAAGCTCAGGAAACATAGGTTCAGCCACTGGAGAAGCTAACAAAACAGTCAAGGTTGACACTTTCAGGTCAGTTTTCTCAGTTTGGTAAACAATAGCCAACGCGGCTTGTCTGATTGAGGATCTGTCATTTCACATCTCTAATGGAAAGGGTATTGAGGGTGGATTCCTAATCCAGAAATCATTGATAACTCACGTTTTCATCCAGTGTAAAGTTCTAAGGCCAGAAATTACTCTTTTTATTGTGCATTTTCCTAATGTGTGTGTGTAGACAGATTTCGGGTGCTGTGAGTGTTGTGGCAGGTGTGTTCCTCCCTAGTCTGGGATGCCTGTCCTCACAGCAGTTGCTAGATGGATTTCAGAGAAGTTTCTAGAAGTTTCTGGCTAGTTTGGGTCTAGCCCACCAGCCTAGGTGCACACCCTAGAAGTTGGCTGGTAGCTAGTGGGAGGCCAAGATGACTTTGATTGACCACAGCTGAGATTCGACTGAGCTTTAAAATGAGGTCCTGCTGGGGGCATGTGGGATGAGGTTTCTTTGGAGCAGGAGGTCCTGGGGTGGGGGGACAGCCTCCCCCTTGGTCTGAGACACCAGCCAGGGGAACTCCTCGATATTGGGAGTTCTCATCTTTATATGGGTGAGTGTATGTATAATCCAAATTGTTATTCTAAGATGAAGAGTTGGCTGTAGTGTAGTAATTGCTCTTCTCAACCAATACCAGAACTTGTGAATTTGGGGGAACTTTCATTTCTTAATAAATTTGGTTTAATTATGCTTGTGGATTAACAGAGAATGTGAGCGTCCTCACATTTATTGGCAGAGAGAGCAGGGTATCGATGGAGATGGTGGCACTCAGGAAACCCCCAGGTGTGGAAAGAGTTAAGGAAAACGAGTGGGGCCGACTGAGAACTTAAGAGTGAGCAGTTTGCCCTGAGGAGCTGGAAAAGGAGAGTCTGTGCAAAGTTAAAAGTATGTAGTTTAAGTGAGAAGGTTGGAACAGAGAATTGAATTAATGCTGGCACAAGCAAAAAGACCTCCCTGATGTGGTTCAAATCCAGAAATTTATATCAATTACCAAACCGGAGACCTGGGATGGAGACGTTTGGGGAGATCATGGTGAAAGCAACTCAGAGGGGGAAGTGGAGCTGAAGGAAAGAAACGTGTGGCCCCTCAGTCTGTACCACAGTCCGTACCAGCCCCTGGTTGGGACCCCAGCTCAGGGAGCTGCAGGAAAAACTCTCCCGCAGACTGAGTGAAACAGAAACGGAATATCCTTGGCATGTCTCTTTAAGTGGCGGGGATCGCACACTTGTAAGTGATGACGAAGAGGCTGGTTTCTGGGGTCCTGTGGGTGATCAGTCCATAAGGTCCTGAGTGGTGTGTTGGGCTGGGGGTGTTGACCCCAAAGAGGGGGGAACCTGTGATTATTAAAGTAAAGGGGTTATGTGAGTTAAGTGAGGGAATTCAAAAAGGTGGCATGTTAGAGCTACAAGGATGACTAAGGGACTTGAAC